ATTTTATTTATTGCTATTCATTTTCTAAATAATCTCTACCATTACAATTAGTGCAATACATTATCATATGAGTGTCTTTACAGATATGTTGATTACAATCCTTACACTTTAATCTACACAATTTATTTGCTTTTCTCGGACACAAATAACATCTCTTGATTTCGTCAGATCTAGTATTTTTCGGGCGTTTGGGCTGTGATCCAGAAGGAAGAGATGTAGACGAATGAGAACCGGGCGGTTGTACTAATGTTGTCGAATCGTAAGGCCGTGTGATATTGGTTATTATTTTACGTAAGTCCCGACTTATAGTCTGAACTTTCAATCGGGAAATCATTTCAGGGACGGCCAGACATTCGCCCAATGTATGCAAAAATTCACGGCGTTTATAAGATTCAACTGGCTTTGGATCACAATTCACATTATGGTGTTTAAAAATAATAAAACTATTTGCAGCCATTATATCAAGAATTCCATAAAATGCAGCTGTTGGCCATCGTTTTGTACGCCTGCCCGTTGAATATGTTGAACACAATTGATCCATTGTATCGACGCCTCCTTTAGTTTTATTATAGTCTTCAATTATCTCTGGTTTTTGTGTTGAGGGATTTATTGCATTATTGTCATGCATTGTGCTCAAAAGTAATACAGTTTTATTTTTCTTCGGATAATACGCTAATAGCGATATATTATTATTTCGGACAAATTCTGTGTGAAATAACTATAAATAAAAAAACAGACTTTTTAAATATAATTTTGTTTTTAATGTCAGTACAGCAGAGTGAGAGCGCTATCACTCTGCTGTACTAATATATAAGGAAATGTATAACTTTTAAGTGTACCGGTCGTTTCTTTTTAGCAATCAATTCTTTAGGTATTTCTCTTTTATTTTTCTTTAGAGTGCCAATAATTGTCAATTTATGAATCAATAATTGTTGAGCTAATGGAAAGCTTGTGAACCAATTATCACAAGTTATATTTCTCCCGGAACCTCTCAATGGTTTAGTAATATCGAGAACTATGTTTGCTCCAAGATTTTGAGCTCTATTACCACCGACTTTTCCTGTATAAAACATTGCGTCCCAGCAATAGGCTGTTTTTGCATCACATATGAGAAAGAACTTCAACCCATATTTGGCCGGTTTATTTGGCATATATTGTTTAAAAGGACACCGACCTCTAAATGCTCTCAACATTTCATCAATTGTCACAAATTCAGATAATTCGTAATTTTTTTATACAGTTTTTACGAAAAATATTGAAAATATCACTAAAGAGTGCTAGTTTGTCACCGGCGGCAATTCGGGCAACTCTTGAGGGCTCGTGATCGAAAGACACATGAGCTGTGAGAAACTGGAAGCGCCTCAATGGCATCACCGCACGGAAAATGTCACGGCCTCGACCATTAGTGTATCATAAATCGGCCGCATTTTCATGGGCAGATTTATGCACTCCTATTAATAATGTCAATCCAATCCACGCCAAGATTTCTTTGTCGTTTGTCTTATGTTCATAAGACTGGCATTTCGTTTGAGATTGAATTTTTGGATTAATTTTGTTATAAATCTTATTATTGGTATTAATCACAATCAATTTTAACATATCATCTGTTAAAAATAGTCTAAATGTAGATAAAACATCTGAACAGTCAGTGGACGTGACTCTTGGTCCACTTTGGAAGCGTATAATATTATGTTGTGATGTCTTTGCCGATGATTGAGATGACTGCGCGGATGACGGTTGAGATAAGTTTTGGCTCAAAGTGTAGTGATTATTATCTTCATCTGAATCGGTTCCAGAATAGTATACTGGCTCTGAATCTGAGTCCAATTCAATATCAGACAAGCTATCGTGTTCACTGTTTTTAGTGTTATTTGAAAAAATGTCACTATCATTGTCTTCGTATGTATTATAATTGTCTTGATTTAGTAACCAATCCATGTTATTATTTATTGACATTTTATTAATTATTAAATTTAATAAAATAGTACAGAATGGTGATAGCGCTCTCACCTTTCTGTACTAACATTGTTTACACAAATGGCATATTTATTAATTGTTTAATTGAATCAAATTGATTCATTGGATAGTAATTACATTAACTACACATTAGTAACACAATATAACGCACAAACACTTGATATGAGATACAATGCATAAGTGATTACACTATGACTGATATGTGTTTATTGAATGTGTGAAAAAATAATTATAAAAATGTCGTCTCAATGAAAACAATGAACACAATCAAATAGATGCTCAATTAGGCCTGCGCGTGATACATCTACAATGTTTAACACTTTGGCATTGATTTGTGCTATGAATGTGAAAACAATTACAAAAAATGTTACCACTATGCACACAACGTATACAATAAAATATACAGCCAACTAGGCCTGCGCGTAATACATGTACACATTGTGAACACTGCTTATGCTGTTAGTGTTTACACAGTAAAAGGCTACCACTATGCACACAACGTATACAATAATGATTAGTACTGTTTAGCCTATGAACAAAAACTCACGTATCGCGCACAGTGGTAGCATTTTATATAAAATCATGTTTTAATCATGCTTACAATTAACTTATATTATTCAAAAATTCTAAATATTTAGAACTTTTTCCCTTTGAGGCATTCCTGAAATTTTTTGTAGCTGGTGCTTGTTGTTGATTTTTAAATAATTGTTGAACACAACATTCATATAAATGTAACCACGATGCAGGTTAAGCGTTAAGCATCACTCAAAGTGTAATCAATGCATTGCATCGCTGTGTCCGAGAGTTGTGTATCAATTGACAGCGAGTGGCCATCTCTACAGCACCGTAAATAGTGTCCAACAACACGCACTGTTACAATGTGTACTCGACTCACCTGTAGCTCTGGCCGTGATTGCACGTGGCGTACGGTTTCACGACAAACATGGCTTTATTGCTGGTTAGGAATGCCGGATAGATCTCTATCCGTCTGCGTAATAAATGCTCGTAGCCGAGTAGAGATCTATACGGCATTTTTGACCTATTGCAACTAACCAGTTAGCAATGTTTACAATCACTCACCCGGCAATTATGTGTGATGACATGTTTACCTTAAATGTTTTTTGTTTGATGAGTGAAATGCGATTTCACTGATTCTCTAGCAGTTTTACATAGATCACTACTCCCATTTAATGTATCATTTTTATTGATTTGAGTATTAAATAGTATAGTAGTTAAATGTAGTTAATTATCTGTTACTTTTCATGACAACACATCGTTGACAACACGGCTGACCAGATGTCCACTCTTCTCCTTTAAATTGTATCTATTGTTAGGATTTATATTATTACAGTGCAACTTCTCTATAGTGAACGGCCAGTTGCACGACAAAAGTGTTCATTATAGGGAGGGTTCATCCAAGGGAGGTTCGAATATAAATGTCTAATTTTTGGTTAATATTTTAATTATATATTAATAATTACAATTATTGTAAATAATAAGAAATTTTAGTTTGTTTAATAGTAATAAAGTGACAATTAAATGCTTTAATGTTAATTTTGTCCAATTGTTTAAATGTTTGAACATTGGATGCGTCTCTAAATGTAAAGTAATAATTTATAGTTCACTAATCAGAGAATGAATACACATTTCTTACAATATTGAATGAAACTTGATATAAAAATGTGTGTTTTGTTTGCTTTAAGTCTTAGATTAAAAACTATTTTGAATATTTTTAGGAATCATGTGCTTATTATTATACTTGTTCATTATTGGGAGTGAAAGTTTTATCTTAATCTCTATAAATCCGTTCATAATGGGGAGGTATTCATTATGGAGAAGTTCGCCCAAGAGAGGTTATTTTAACATTATAAATATAGAAAATCCAATATAAATTTCAAAACCGTTCATTATGAGGAGATGTTCATCCAAGAGAAGTTCACCCAAGAGAAGTTGCACTGTATTATGAAATATGTTTTTTATATTTAAATAATCTATACCAGCTAATCGCATCTTTCAAAAAAAGCTTTCAAAAAAAGTTTTTAACTAAACATTATTTTTTGTCAGGTTTCAAACATTAATCACAAATGTCATTACATTTGTTTACAATACATTACATATAATGCAATCCACCACTCTCTTTATTTAATAACGACATATTTGAATGCATTAAGATAACAATAAACCTATTATAAAGTCTGTTGCCCTTTAATGCGGGCAAATGCACAGAAATGCACTCATTAAAATTCTATGATCTATACAATTACTTTTATATTCGGGTTTTAACACACTTTTTTATTATAATAACATATAAAGTATTGTTCATGATTTAATTATATTTTGTAGTAGCGTTGCCAAACATACAGGAACTTCCTGGATTATACATGAATTAAGGAATATTTGCAGAATACAGTAAGGAGTAATTCCTGGACATTGAAAAATACAGGAATAAATATTTCTAGAATGAGTTGTAAATGTAGTAGTTTTGATCAACTCTTGATACACTGTGTCGGCATATGTGATGAGCAATGAGCAAGCATATATGGCCATTATTATACAAGAGTTTATTGCTATAAATACTGAAGAAATGAAATTAATTTTAATGTGTTCTTGAAAAATTTAAACTTTTTATTTAACAAATATGTGATTTTAAATTATAAACATTTTTAATTGTAATTTTTTGTACTATTCAACGTGTAATGAATAAAGATTATTTTTAATTTTACATTGAAAATGAATACATAATAGACATAAATATTATTTTTTATAAGAATAACTTTATATTTTATAATTAAAAATAGTTGTTGCTTAATATATTTTGTGAATAATAATAAATATAGACTGGTTCCATAAATCCGCCAAACTTTTGTAACCTTGTTTTAAATTAATTGTTTAAAATATGTTTATAAAACAGGACATAGAATTGAAACTGTGTTTATTAGGCTACAAGACACTATAATTATTTTGACCATATCTATTGTGGTCCCGAAGTAATCGTCACCCGAAGAGACCAACCCGTGGAAACATTAATTTAATAGTATTAAACTGTTAAACACATTAATAAATATATTTTATTTTTTAATATTTATAATAAACGATCAGTTAATGACATTTGTGTCACTTTGAGGAATAGTATGGCAATCAATGCTATGATCTGTAAAAAACAAATTGAAAAACGATTAGCAAATCAATTGTATGACAACTGAATATAAGGACAATTATATAACTCACTTCATAGCACCTGAAGTCTGTGATTAGAAATAATTTCCAACACCAGAATCCTATCCTCTTATCGCCGATTCGTTCAATGAGTGAAATCACCTGAAAATACATACAGAAAACTAGTGAATGAATAACTTATTAAACATAACAAACAAATCCTAAACACATATTCACACACAAAACTATAGCAAACATTACTTTTAATTTGGTTGTCAACGCATTGAATGGACGTTTTGTATTAACAATCGGCTGGCGATTGAGTCCACTATAATAGGGTATCACTAAAGGGATTAACAAACGATGAGTTTTGTCGGTCTCGGCGTTCACTGAAGAGGCGGTGAATATAATGAAGAGGAATACAGACAATGGGATAACGAGTGCATATGTGATGGCAATTCTCAATAGGATTGTCAGCGGAGAGAAGAGTAGGAAATACATGAAAAGGGCATTAAAACAGCCCATTGTTGACCAGAATATCGCCAAAAACTTACACCAATGCCTGTCATATTGAGTTTCTCAGCATATTGTGTTAAAGCCGTTACACAACTCTATAGTATACCGCTTTGGAAAGTCGCTATCTCAAAACAATTACCTAAATTAAAACCAGAAATCCATTATTGTCTACTCTATCTTCATTTAGTGAACTATACGGTAACTTAACATCTGTATCATACGCTAGTATTAGTTTAGCACAGCATTTGGTATCGCAATCAATATAAACACAATAACCGAACAGTTTGTTAAGTATGGTATCATTAATACAATCATAACAATTGGTATTAGCTTTTCGTTATTGAATTTAACGCAATCTATCAATACTTTTGTTCTTCGCATCAATTTGTGGCCATCTTTCAGACCCGAACCGGACATCACTTCAAACACGTTCAAAAATGTGGGCTTAATATCGTTGATATAATTATAGAAATATACTAATTGTGAGCTCAACGCTAATATTATAAAGAAATTGCAGGCGATATTGAAATGCAGTTTAATTCCCACAAATTGTGAGAAATCTCCCAAAACAATAGTTGAGAATAAATCCAAATCCGGTATTAATAAAGTGATTGTGTATTTGAAAAAGCCATAGATTAAGACCACAAATTGTACGATCGGTTTGTGGATTAGCGATCTCTTGGCTTCAACTCTGGTCGATGTCAAACATAATCCAATCCGAAACAAATGGATGTCCGCCTCCTTAACAGTTGATATATTCTTAAGCATTTTGTTTGACTGAAATCTATCACATATTTGATGTAATTATGATAAATTTATTGAAAATTAATATTCCCCGAATATAGACTGGTTCCATAAATCCGCCAAACTTTTGTAACCTTGTTTTAAATTAATTGTTTAAAATATGTTTATAAAACAGGACATAGAATTGAAACTGTGTTTATTAGGCTACAAGACACTATAATTATTTTGACCATATCTATTGTGGTCCCGAAGTAATCGTCACCCGAAGAGACCAACCCGTGGAAACATT